TCGAGCGTCGTCCTGCCTCAGACTCTACAAAGCTTCGACGAAGAGCTTCGATTGAAACTGCTGGTCCTTCCCGAGGCCTACCAACCAGACTCTAGTGCGCTGTTCGACGTAACGGCGCTGCCTACAATCTTCTGCCTATTGTCCGCTCGCTTCCATATGTACCGGCGCAACCTTACTCCTTTATCGGGCTCAACTGAGCGGGCTAATGCTTTGAAGCGTTGCGTCTCCGTATCTCAGGATACAGCAAAGTACGTGTCAAGGGCTTTACATAATCCTCCCAAACAAGACTCGGGTAAAGGGTGGGAAGAGAGGGTGGCATCGATAGCGAGCAATACGGTGTGTTTGCACTTATGGCGATGCATCCTCGTGCTTTGCTTCCAGGGCGAGTACAAAGCTGCGCTGGTGTGCTTGCACCTTTCGAGGACTATCGGCAATGTGCGGAAGACCAACTTGGCATGTGGAAAGAACGTGGCGTTCTTTCTAGAGAGAATGTTTGATCGCGTACGCAGCGGTCAGGCAACCAATCAACAACTCGAACAAGATGAGGAAATGATTGCGTATGTCAGTGCAGACGCTCAAAGCAGCCTTCAGCATTCATGGGTCTGGGTAGGCGACAATTTGACCTCTTCAAGCTCAACACAAGAGGCGGCCCCAACTGCCATCCGATCACCAGGCACAGACGAGCCAATGCGAGACGCGCTACCCTTACGAACACCATCTGGTTCACCGATGAACGGTGCTACAGAAGCAGACGACTGGACTCAGGCTGAACAGATGATCAGGCAATTGATGGACGAGCACCTCCACCGATCCACGCAGACACCAGCCTATTATCCTCCGCCGCATAATCCCGTCAAGCGAGTGCAATTAGCAACCGATGTACTTTCGCCACCGAAACCCACACCGAACCCAAGCCCTACACCGTCAGGAACAAGTCGCATCAGTATTGCGAATATAATATAAAGCAAGAAAGGATTTTGTAGATCATCCTACAGGGCACAAACGTTTTGACATGAACGCTTATGGAGGCAGGTGGGCCAATCACGACGGAGGAGATTTAGAACATCGGCCTTACGCATATCGCATGATACGACGACTGTATTTCCTCGTAGTACAGTAACTCAGTCGCCAAGCCCCAAGCGTGGTGCATCCGCTTTAGCCATCCAGACCCTCGGGTCGCCTTCTTGCCAGCGCCTTATACATAAGCAACAACACTTCCGCAGCTAATCTTTCGGTTTTACTCGAGCAAGCTACGTACATGTCGATCTTCCGATCAGCGAGATTCTAATTATGCTGCCGTCGTCTTACGATTGTGCCCAAATCCTAACAACTACTCATTGACAAGCCTTAGCGCTCTGCATTTCCATGGAGTTTATATACATTGGCAAACCAGCAATACTGAAAGGCGTAATACTTCTACCTCTGAGAGATCTACATGTATATGATCATGCAAGCAATTTTATGAGAATATTTTTGTTCACCGCAACATGACACTCTATGCCGTGAACAACACCATCACACAGCATATTCACACGACTCAGCACTAGTGACAACAGTTACCTACGAGGATCTTGAGGATCTCATTTCGGCGCACCTAGGTTCGCGCCGCGGCTTACCCGCAGCCTTATCTGTCAGCTGCGGGTAAGAAGCATCCAATCAGCGTCCGACAAGAAACCTTGGTTGTTGCCAGCACCGAGGTTGTGTATATATTGGAATAACTAAGGCTGACGCTATGCGTATTTTACGAACGCCTTACTGCAAAGACATATTCGTTAAGTAGGCGTACACCGCAATAGCTTAGCTTGTGCTCCTAAACTCCGGTGCGCATCTTCTCGGCTCTCACAGCTGTGGAAAGTGACTGCGGGGCGGACATCAACACGCCCGGGCAGATCGTACCTGGCACTACCCACTACATATACAGACCCCGCTGTTAGCTTCTAAGAGAGTGTTAGTCTACCTCCTAGCGCGAGGCGGTGTAAGAACTATTGGTCGCTAAGTAGACAAGCTTCAGTGGTCAAATGCTTAGCGGAACGCGTGGTACCCCGCTATGACATGTGTCACTCGAATGAGCACACTCGACGCGCAACCGTGCTCCTATTTACATGTCTCATACCCAGGTCGAACGGCTCATACAGAGCAAACTGGTGAAGGGTTGGTTCAGGCGGTCTGGATGACTAGGGATCGGCATGTGCGTCGTGGAGCGTTGGCTGCAGGAGGGCCGCCCGACGTGTGTCGTATGCAAGTGGTGCTATGGTGGGGTAGCATGGTGAGCTGGAACGCGGGCGGCGTGTTCACGCTGCATGCTAGGCACAGCAGGACCTGGTGAGGGATATAAGCTGCTGTTTCCGCAGGGGAATTGATCTTTTCAGGCTTCCTGCTCGTCGCTTCCTTCATTCTTCTTTTCAAAGTCTCTCCTCGTACCACCAAAACTATCCCAAGAAATCGCCAATATGGTTCACATCAATCGGGTCGCGACTCACAAGGAGATCTCTGAGGAGAAGGCTCAATTTGAAGCCATCGATGCTACCACCTCCATCAACCTGACTCCGGATGATGAGGCAGACGACTACACTGCTACGGTGTACGGTAGCAAGTATGCTGCTGAAGACCTCCCGAGACATGAGATGCCCGTGAGTGTTTCAACACCTGTAAAGCCGTTTGCAAACTAATTTTGAGCAGGACCGGGAGATGCCTCCTCATGTGTAAGTACGACGCTGCTTAGAATACCACTTCTCGAACGCAATACAGCTTTAACAACACAAGAACGCGCGACATGATTGCTGACTACATGCCAGCGCCTACCGTATGATCAAAGATGACCTCACGCTCGACGGCACCCCAACGCTGAACTTGGCTTCTTTCGTAACAACCTACATGGTAAGATGTCCCGACTGCCGCCTACGCCACAAGTGCTGATTCATGCATAGGAAGAAGAGGCTGAGAAACTCATGGTGTATGTTCATTGTAGCTGCACTCCGCGATCATCCGAATAACCTTGTCTTACAGCGATGCCTTCTCCAAGAACTTCATCGATTACGAAGAGTACCCCGTCAGCGCCGATATTCAGAACCGTGCGTATTCAATACAGCTCGTAAGCTTTGGAGGTATTCGCTGAACAACAAAAAGGATGTGTTTCGATGATCGCGAGGCTTTTCAACGCACCTTGTGATCCAGAAGCGAACACGATCGGTACATCTACTATTGGATCTTCAGAGGCTATCATGGTCAGTACATGGAGCGATTCGAGTTTGGAGACTGTTGAGCTGACACGTTGTAGCTTGGAGTTTTGGCCCAAAAGAAGCTTTGGCAAAATAAGCGCAAGGCTGAGGGTAAGCCCTATGATAAGCCTAACATGATCATGAACTCGGCGGTACAAGTTTGCTGGGAGGTACGTATCCTATGGTCTTGCGACGACGTATGCATCAGAAACCCAACGTATTGACTATGTGCAGAAAGCATGCCGATACTTCGACGTCGAGGAGCGATATGTGTACTGCACAACCGAACGCTACGTGATGGACCCCAAGGAATGCGTGGACCTCGTTGATGAGAACACCATTGGAATTTGTACTTGACCCAACATACATCCCACAACAATACACTAACCCCAATAGGCGCCATTCTAGGAACGACATACACCGGTGAATACGAAGACATAAAAGCCATCAACGACCTCCTTGTTGAACGCAACATTGATGTTGATATCCATGTCGATGCTGCATCTGGTGGTTTCGTTGCCCCCTTCGTTAACCCCGGTCTGCTCTGGGACTTCCGTCTTCCCAAAGTCACGTCCATCAACGTCTCCGGACACAAGTACGGACTCGTATACCCTGGTGTTGGTTGGGTTGTATGGCGCGACCCCAAGTACCTGCCCCAAGAACTCGTCTTCAACATCAACTATCTCGGTGCCGATCAGGCATCTTTTACTCTCAACTTCTCTCGCGGAGCTTCTCAGATCATCGGACAGTACTACCAACTTATCCGACTGGGTAAGCGTGGATACAGAAAGATTATGCTGAACTTGACTCGCACTGCCGATTATCTAGCAGCGAACCTGGAAGCACTGGGCTTTATTATCATGAGCCAGAGGAGTGGTGCTGGTCTTCCTCTCGTTGCTTGCCGAATCGATGAAGACCTTGGAAAGCAGTACGACGAGTTCGCCATGTAAGTTTGCTTGAGACATTCTGCAGGGAAAATGACTAATCATGTGCAGCGCTCATCAACTCCGCGAGCGCGGATGGGTTGTCCCGGCCTACACCATGGCGCCTCACTCCGAGAAGATGAAGATGCTGCGTGTAGTCGTACGCGAAGACTTCACCAAGTCTCGTTGTGACGCACTGCTCGCTGACTTCAAGCTTGCGCTACAGACGCTGGACAAGCTTGATGCGAAAAAGATTGAGGAGCACAGGCAGCATGCATTCGCCATGCGTCGTCGCTCAACCATCGTCAGTCCCATCTATAAGAAGAAGACGACAGACCATTTCGACGACGACCACAGTCTGCAGGGCAAGACTGGCAAGACACATGCTGTCTGCTAAGTTTGGCTGGTGAGCTGAGTCGCAGATCTTTGTAGACAAGAGGATACAAATTTCAGTATACATAGATACCACGAATGAAAAGATTTTCTTGACAAGAAGAATCTTCTGTTCAATACATATTGAGCAGCGTTGAACTTGATGATGACACCACTTCAACCTCCTCCACAGGCTAAGCTGACAATATGGATACACACTCAATTGGCGCTACAATAGCCCAGAGCTCTTATCAAGTATTGACGTTGCTCTCAAATGTGCCAAGTAATCATGCTCAGGTGAAAATCTCATGCCACTACACGTTTGTTCTGATAGTCTGCGTAATGGAGCGTAGTTGAACCTGAGTGGGGATCGCTATCGTGTGACCAGGCTGGGTGACACGAAGGTTTCGTCTTGACAGCTGTGTTTGTAAAGCAAGGCTACTGTAAGACGCAGCATCGCTGAAGCTGCCTTAATAGTGCAGCCACTTTATTCGTTCTCCTTAGTGTTGTGCAGCATCCTCCATGGTCGCTCCAGAAACACTGGCATATTAGCACCACCTTTAGGGCAGGGATGGAGTGCATTGGACATCCTGAACAATTCTTCCCGGCTTCTCGTATAGTTTGACAGATCCTTGCCCTGGCTCAAATCCAACTCGCCTATATAATTGTTGTAATCAGCCAAGCTTTTCGTGTTAGTGATATCCAGAGTAGATATGAGTTGATTGAAAACGCGACGCGTGGTGACAGAAGCTTGTAGTGTCCATCCAGGGGTACTGCTCTCCGCGTTGCCGACCTCGTCCCACATCTGTTTGAGATGCTCAGCCCAGTCTTCATCACGTTCATCGCCCACGAAGACCACTATTCGGCTCCTATCAAGCTCACCCCCGGCAGGTGACTGAACGACCGGTAAGTTTGGCAGTTCCAGGACGAAATTGATTTGAGCATCGGTGCAATACTTGAAACTGAGCAAAAACCGGTCCCCATTATCTGTCCCGCCGAACAAGTGTGTTTTAGGTCGGTTAGTTACATATCGTAATACCATGTCGCTTGATGACCATATAGCTTCCTTCGGTGTTGCGATTGTGAAACACCAATCATCCTGGTTTGGTTCGATGCGAACTTTAATACTCCTATAATCTTTCACATTTCGGTCTGTCATAGGCTGGCTGGGAAGGTATAACCCTTTCGATCCTTCGACCCAGAGCCGCTCAACGTAGGCATCTTTGACAAGGTTAACGTCCACAAGAAACGTGAATGTTTGCCCCCCAAGCCCGATACGATAATAACGGCTGCCACCGCTCCAGGAATAGAGTAGAATAGCCAACAAATGATAAGGCCGATCCGCATAGGAGCTCGGAAGAAGTCCAATCTGGTATGTTCTATGTCGTTCCTTCATATGTACAATCGGCATATTCATGCGCCATGCGCCGCTGAGTTTAACCAGGTCGCTTCCAATGCCATGTATTTCTTGGAAAACGACTCTATTGGAATGACGGAAATAGTCTGGATCCATCGCGAACAATCCATTAGGAGAAAGACTCAAAAACTCTTCGTCTAGATGAAACTTTGGTTCTTGATCGTTTTGGTCTGATTCCGACATACGATCCTCGCGATTATCCAGGCGTTCAGATGCAGTTCCTACTAAAGCGCTCGAGGCGAGAATTTCATGCTTTCCAATCTCATCGTACATCTCTGGGATTGTCTTGGGTATGAAATTCCAGGCGAATAAAGTTTGGTCGTTGTTGTCTTGTAAAATCAACTCTTGCAAGCGCATGAAGGCACCCGAGCCTTCACCATACTGCATAGTCATACCCTTAACACCGAGCAGCCCAATCAAAGAATATGCTCGGTCTTCAATTCTCTTAGCCTCACGGCCAGCCGCCCAGGACAAACGTTGTGCAATGCTCCTGTCAAACATCCTGCTAGGAGTGCGTACGGTCTCCTCGTCTATGCCAGTGACGGATGTGATGATAGAGATGGAAGCAATTTTCGATCCCATGCGCTGCCAGAGGACGTTGTAAAACTGGACGTCCGTTGGAGCGAGGAGTTCTTGTAGAGTCCACGCCCGAGTCCACCACCTACTACACGCGAAGCTCTCTGTCATTTCCTCTGATTCAACATCCATAAGGTAGACATAACAGACAAACGATTCGGAGTACCATTCGAACATTGAGCTTATAGCTTCGGACAGCTCTGTGCTATTCGTCTTGTCGATACAGCACGTATCAATCCAGACGTACTTGAGGCCATCTAGCAATGCTTGTCGACATGTGTATTCGATCTTCTGATATCCAAACATATGGCGGCAGTTCTCTAGATCCTGTATTTGCGCATGGGTGACCTCATCCTCATCCCGTAGCCAGGTGTGTGACAGGATTGCATACGAAGGGATTTCGTCCCCATAAAAGGTTTGGAGTTCGAGTGTTCGAGCGTCGAGAAGTCGCATTCTGTTCCATCTGCACCGAGTAGTTATAGAGGAGGTGGACGAAACAACTTGGGACGTGTCAGGCAGCAGGCTGAAGTAGACGCCGTAGTTTTGCAGCCGTGGCGTACCTGCTACCCCGCTCGAACACATGACCTATGCAGCATTGCAAAAGGGCAAAATGAAACTGTTTTCATGCCTTACAAAACTAGTTCGAACGAACCAGCCCTAGTGATTGTGGTAGCTTTTGGAAGAAATTCCATGGTTCACAGTGGCGCCATTAGCGCGTCCTACGAACCCTGTGCGACTGGTGCGCGAATGTATGCTGGAAAAAAATGCTTAGCGAATTAGAGAGATTTCACGTCTTCTAGCTGAGCTGAGCTGAGCTGAGAAGATGCCAACGTTGCAAATGAGAAGGAAGCGTGGGTGGTCGGAGGTCTTGCTAGCCTCATCTAGCGCACGCGTCGAGTCCAACCACATTCAAGCAAAAAGGAACGTCGGAGGAACTAGTTCATTCGTTCTGAACTATGTGCGACACTGGAAAGTAAACTTCAAGTGTTCGCTCCCTGGTAAGATGCGAAGGACCAGATAGAACCGTAGCAGGTACCTTCTGATTCCTTTGGTGCAGGCTGAAACTCGCAGACGAGTTTCTTTATATTGCTGACAGCGGTTTGTATATAGTGGGTCTACACATATCACGCGACTGGGCGTCATGGAACCTCGCCGCATGGCTATTTGTTTATCGTGGTCAAATATTCGGCCTGTATACAGACGTATCATCACAGGTTGCACCGCACATTGAGAGGATACAGCGGAATGGTTGAATATCATCGTACCGTAGTACGTTGCGATTAAAGCGAGCCATAACGGCCATTACTATCCATCATATCTAATATTCAGCATCTCCCATCAAGTCGTTCGAAAAGTACACAACCAAGCCTAAGCCTTGGTCTCGGCGTTCTCAACCCGGACAGGGCTGTGCTCAAGACCAGCGGCCTTCTCGTTGTCAATCTCGCCACGCTCAGCACGACGAGTGCTGCTGTACTCAACCTTGGTCTTCCAGGCTGGAACACCAGTCATGAACATCTCCTCCACATCCTCAAGAGTCTTTCCAGCTGTCTCGGGGAAGAGGAAGAAAGTGTGGACAGCCATGGCAAAGCAGAAGACACCGAAGATGATGTAGACGCGCCATTGGATGTTGACGAAGGCGGGTGGGACGAAGTAGGAAAGGGCGAAGTTGAAGATCCTGAAGTTGGGTCAGTTTTTGCTACGATGCATGCTTTGAGTGATTGGGTACTTACCAGTTGGATGAGGTTGCGACGGCGACGGCCTTTCCACGGATGCGGAGAGGGAAGATCTCAGGGGGGTAGACCCAGGAGGCAGGACCCCAGGTAGGCGCGTAAGAGGCAACGAAAAGGTATGTGCAAGCAATGACAGCCCTCGCAGGTGCGCCGCCAATCTCCCAAGATTGCTCGGCAATGTTACCGAGACCACCCGGAGGAGCGGGCTTGCCGTAGGAAGCCATAAGACCAGCGTTGGCGAACATCCAAGTCATCATGAGGATGGCACCGATGACGAACATGGGGCGGCGACCCCAACGGTCCATGAAGAGGAGAGCGGGAACGGTCATCAAGACGTTGATAACGTACTGGATGGAACTGGCGACAAGGTTGATGTTACCGGTGAGACCAGCCATACCGAAGACGTATGTGATGTAGTACTGTAGAGGTGAAGGGTACGAGGTTAGTTAATGTTTCACATGCATTTCGTACAGGCACAACTTACCATCATAACGTTCATGCCTGTCAGCTGAGACCAAACCTGGGTGAAGACACCAATGTGGAGACGGTTCAACATCTTAGGCTTGAAGAGCTCCATGAAGGATACATCGGCGTTCTGGCGCTCGAACTCGATCATCTGGCGAATCTCATCCAGTTCAAGCTTGACAAAAGGACTGTTGGGGTCACCCTTGCCGTGGACCAAAGTAAGAACAGCCTGAGTCTCCTCCCAACGGTCGTGTCGTGCGAGCCAACGAGGAGATTCTGGCAGGAATACGAGACCAATGGCAAGGATGACAGCGGGAATCATCTGTAGACCCCATGGAACACGGAAAGCCTTCTCGCCGTCCAGGAAGCTGCAGCCGTAGGAGATGTAGTACATGATGAGGATACCCTGAATAAGTCAGTATGTTTCATGTCGAGTTCGTACAGGGACATCTCTCACCCAGGTAATGGCCCACTGTTGCGATCCTACAACACGACCGCGACGGGAAGGAGGAGCGAGTTCGGAGACGTAGACAGGAACCTGAGCGGAGCAGATACCGACAGAGAGACCGTTGATGAAGCGACCGGCAATGAGCATGCCAATGTTTTGAGCGGCGCAAGAGATGATGGAACCGATGATCCAGATGGCACAACCGATTTGGATAGCCCTGCGACGACCGAGCTTATCCGTGAGGTAACCAGAGACGAGAGCACCGACGAAGGAGCCACCAGGCATGCTAAACTGAGTTAGTCTTTGCAAAGGTAGAATTCACTTATGAAGTGGGCTTACGCAGCAGTGATACCTCCCTGCACATCGGCAGTAGGACCAGAGCAGTCCTCTTCAGGACCTGTGAAAGGTGGACCCAAAGGTCCCTGGTTGAAGTAGCAGCGGTATTGTTGAGTTGGCAGACTGTCAATGTTAGCATGATTCTTGATGGTAGTATAGAGAGTCGACATACATGGCACTCATAGAACTGATGTCGAAACCAAACAGTCCACCGCCAATGACCGCAATGGCGGTGATGCCGTAGATGTTACCGATCTGGTAAACCATGGTGGTGTATTGTCTTGCCAATCACCCTACAAAACGATATATTGGATGGACCCAAAGGCTGAACAGGCGTGGTTAAAGGAAAACAACCACGACGTCGGGGCACAAAAAGAGTTTATATGCCATGCTCCTCTCGGTGTGATACCAGGCGCGCAGCTAGGGTCAGGAGAACAACGTGGGAGCTCCGCAGCGGACCTTTCACTCTCCCAGGTAACGTCCATCCTCGTTCGACTTTCGGAAAACACACTGCTGTGCTTCCTGCCTTGGTATAGTCTCCGAAGAGAAATACGCTGATTGGTAGGAGGATGACATGGAGTCCTGCGGCGGAGCGAAGAAATGACAAGCCTGACACGATGGGGCCGCTTAGTGCTTGTCTTCGCGAGTCGAGTCGGGCGCGGTTGGGGGACAATTGATGCCGAGACGACGGACAACGGGTTGGCAACAGGGTAAAGGAAGCCGTTTATTGCGCCACGGAAAGACGATACTGCGATCACCATGATGAGTTGCCGCTCGCGGGTCGGTCGTACCACAGCTAATGCTGATGGGTGACCACCATCTCAGATCTCGTCGAACCTGAGGCGTGACACTCCGCACTCCGCACAACAGCTCGCTCCATTTTTCCTCCAGACTCCAGACACCCACACTCCTGCCCCCAATTTCGCACCCCAAGGGCACCCCATGAAGAAGAAATTTTCTCACTTGGTGGGCCCCCCTTTGCACTGTGCAATTCGCGCTCAAATGAGCACGGTGTGAGGTTTCCACTGTTGACGTCACGCACCGCGATTGAGAACGGCATGCGGCCACTCACCTTCCAAGCCGCTGACGTCGACCCGCTTTTCTCAATGCGACTTGCTGACGCTAGGATAGACGAGGTTTGCGCCTCCCGTCGAGTCAAAAGCTTAAGCTGGATGCCGAGTGCCGAGCAAGCCTGTGACCGTTAAGCTTCAACAAGTCGTCTAAGAGGGCATGGCATGCTAGCCCGTGGTAAGGCGTTCCTCGACCCCTCAGCTGATCCAAACTTTTGTGTGCTATTAGCACACCACAATGCCGCGATATCCTCTATCCAAGCGAATTGAGGCTCTAGGTGGGGCGTGGCCGTCGCTACGGGGCGATTGGACTGATGCAGTTTATCGTGGTGTGCCCAGCGCTGCATGTGCCGAGGTTCTAGCGTGACATGTTGCATCGAATTACAATGCGGCGCGGCTCCGCCGACACGGAAAGCAAGACCCAACGGCCTTAACGCTTAATCGCGCTGAAGAGTGGGGTTGTCCCGTACGTTGAAGATAGGTGGGAGTGAGGAGAAGTTGAACGCGGGAAAGATGTTGGGGCAATAGCAGTTCGCGGGGTCGCTACTTTCTCAGCTCGTTGGTCACGACGCGACATCGTCGAACACCCACCAACAGCGCCCCGAAGTCTTTAGTACTCCATTCTCCTCACTGTTGACGCGCAACACCACACAAGCAAAGCGGATGCATTTCCCGATGCGGCCTTCGTATGCTCGCCAACTAGCCAGCAGCCACCCGCATCGTCCCACACGCACCTGAGTAACCGGTTGTCGGAAGCGCCGTGGATCCGCCGTGGATCCGCCGTGCTGGATGCGACGCTCTTCTGCACTACATGTGACCGCTCGAGGATGTCGGGAAGTGGAGATACCCATGAACTGATACTATGGTCAATACATCGCGAGTCAAGAAATTGTCTTCTAGAGGATTTGCCATACCGAGACCATAACGTTCGAGAACGTTGTGAATGGGATAGTAGAACAAAGAACAATGGCTTGATATAACTACATGATGCGGACTTCTCCTGCCAAGCGAGTATGTACTATGCGCCGGATAGAGTACAGCGAGGAATAACATGGCACGACCGAGAACCTCCAGAGCTTAGCCCCAAACAAGCTTCTTCAAGGAATACTCAAACTGTTCGAGGTAGCCTGTAGTCTTTCTCGCATCCGTAAGGCTAATAATGTCCTTCTCTTCTACCTCCAATGTTCTGTCTTCGTCCCTTCCTCCTTTCTTCATATCATTGGCGATTCTCACGATTTCATCGCATACTGACTTCACCACCTCGCCCTCATTCTCTGGAGTGTCGCCAGGAGATGACGGAACACTACTTCTCGGAGGTAACGCCTTGAATGCTAGGAAGCGGCCCGCAGAATCCTGCTTCTGGTCCTTCTTAGCGTCATCCTTGCGCTGCTCGTCGTTGGCGGTCCCTGAATCTAAGGCTCTTGTGTTTCGTCGTACTAGCTCGCCTTGGGTGTCGGCTCGGTACCGTATGATGAGGCCAACATTCTTGTCTGCATCCGTGTGTCGTTGCGCTAACGTAGACGTAATGTAAACGCCGCGCATGAGACCCTGCACATTCTCAAGTGGAATGCGTTCAAACTCGCGTACCTTTTCTGTGCCCCAGTCGAGACGGCAGAAATACAGGGCCTTCTCCGTCAGTAGGAGAACTGCTTCCTCAAACGTGGCAGTCTTGACTTGGTTAACAGCGGTGGGTACGCTCAAGGTCCAGCCGTGTACCAGGTCCTCGTCACGATCCTCAATTACAATACCAGCAGAACGCTCGATGGCTTGTTGCCGCACCTTGCGCACATCAATGAAATAATCCGAGCTCTTCATATCTGCTTCAAACTCTGCAAATATGGTATCGGTAGCGCGACCGAGGAGATAGTCAATGACGGCTTGAGCGAAGTAGTCATTTACAATGTTGTTATAATATCTCGTGAGTGTCAGTCCAAAATCGGTAAGGGCACCGGTTATTTGTCGTTTTCGGGTGCGCGTAAAATCTCCTTTCAGTGCAGCGGTGCCAGCATACTGCCGAGAGATTGCGTCACCGTTGTCAGCCCAGAGAGTGTTGAACCACGAAGTGCTAGGGTCGTTCTGAAGGTCGATGTTGTAGCTACCCATTGATAACTGCGATTCAAGAGCGGTTCTAGCACACGCAGATTGGACGACGTTGGTGCGGTCCAGACAATCCATACAATTCGTGCGCAAGACACCGGCCTGCTTCCGTTGGACTTGGTCATCTGAAATTTCCACCCAGCCAGAAGATGTCATGAAGGGTTCGATGGAGTCCATCAGTTTTGAGACGTTTTCAAAGCGCATGCCACGGCACACGTTGTGGAAGTCGAACCATTCGAAGCCCAGTTGCTTGCCCTTGCCATCAATCCCGCCGTTCTCATTGAGCGCCTTGGCATGTTGTTCGTAAAGTTCGCCAATCTTTGCTTCCGTACCGTGTTTGTCGATAAGCGAGTCACAGTAGATATCACCGTAACGCGAAGACAGATCGAGGAAATGCTTCTTGAAAGCTTGAGCGTTTGTTTCGAAAGATCCCCAAGTAGAGACCTGAGGCTTGAGGCTGTAGGGTGATTGGGAGAAGAACAGCGGTATTGACCCGCGAATTTGCGTGAAGGAGAAGATCTTATCTTGCGTCGTGCTGAACGTTGGCACGGACAGGATCTGTTCCGTTTCCACACTGTTCGCAGTGCATCCCTCGTCGTCTGTTCCTCGTCGCAGATAACGAAGACCAGCCCGCTTGATAGAACGTCGTGAGATGAGTGTCAACAAAAAGTCTTTACCGTCTGTAAGTGAAGCGTCCGGAGCAGGTGCTTCGCTACTGGCTTCTGTAGTGGATTGCGACTCCTCTTTTTGCTTCTCATGCCAGGACTGCAGCTGAATGTCGTCGGGGGTAGCACTCGGATCGACTACAAGGCTGCTCGACTGGCCATCCGCAGTCTTGATAGTGAATGGTCTCTGGCCAACAAAGCCTTGCATTACAGGGAGCACGAAAGAATGTTGACCAGCGTCGATGAAGGGCGAGATGATGTGCTGGTTCCAGAAGAACAAAGGATCGAACTGCTTGAATAGCGCCACACTGGAACTGGGTTGCTGCTGGCCGATGCCGTGTGAGATGTCATAGTCGTAGGAGAAGAAGAAGTTACCCGATGAAAAGTACATTTTGGTGGTCTGTAGGATCTTGGGTAGGAGAGCTACAGTCGCAGCGTCCTTCTCGCCGCTCAGAGCCTTGGGTATCGCCTCTGGACTGACTGGTTCCGAAATGTCCTTGTCAGATGTTGGTAATGCATCTGGCTTCGACTCGGTCTTGGGCTGCTCTTCCTCTTTCGGCATTCCTGAGTCAACGTTCTGCGGCACATTCTTCGCGGCCAGGTTCTCCTCGGAGTTCAGCCCTTGCAGACGCCTGTTGTCAGCGCTCCAGCCCTTGCGCGAGAACCACTTGTCAGCGAACCTTCCGTATACACCTTTCCGTTGTATGACGTCTTCGGCCACACTTGTCTTCTGGGCCGCTGTCCCTTTTTGCCCGGTGAGAGTGTCCTTCACCTCACTGGGTGCAGATGAGGAATCTTCTACAATTGAGTCGGTTACACTGGGCGCGCCATCTTCGCTCTCACTATCTGTATCCTCGTCATCGAGCCCTGGTGCGCGGTTGCGACGCTTCAAGTGGTCCCGCGTGGCTACAATGGCCTTGTCGGCATCGGCTTGTGAGGAGAGCGGGATGAGAGCGACATTGGTGATCTTGTAGATGGGCTTGCCGCGTATGAGCGCTACTTGTTCGCGGTCGGATATCGATATCAAAAAGTAGGAAGTAGCGACTTTGAGCAGTCCTGGTGGCGTGGTTAGCTGTGCACTGCATGTCGCAATGCGCAGGTGAGCGCGCGCATACCGACGATGCCATGCGCCTCCACAGACACGGGCGCAGTATCTTCTTCGCGCCTGTCCTTCAACAGAGGCCCGACGTTGCCTTTGTAATCGATCTTGATGGCCTGCTGCGTCGCCGGCGGATGGTTGCGGGGCGGGGACGGCTGGAGGACGAGCCCGTCGACGGCAGCGAAGATGAGCAGCTTGCGGACCAGGGATGGCATCTTATCAGCGGCGCTATGCGCTTCAAGGATTGACTGACTACAAAAAGAACATCGAGTTTCTTCTTAGTAGGCGCATAGAGACGCTTGGTGGGCTGGACCGGCATGACGTCGTGTCGCGCCACGCTAATGTCAAGGTTTCTTACCCCACGCGTCTTCACCCACCCATGATCGCTACATCTGCCATCACCACCTCTTTCCAAGCCCTGTCGCCGTCATGAGTCAACAGTTACTATGTTATCATTCGAATCGTCGTAACAAAGCAATCTTGAACGTCGCTGTTTGTGACACGCAGAATATCATTCGAAAAGTATCTGGCTCTTGAGACTACAGAAGCTGATCGGTGCATGAGCACACAATCATGCACTTGCACCAGCGTCAGAGAATGCTCTGGTCCCCTGCGTTACCCAAAGGTGCCTTGTTGGTTCCGGGTCGTACCTCTCGATATCACGATACCTAACCCGCCACACATTTGCTCGCGCTCCATGTGAAAGAATGGAAGCGCATCTCGGATTTATGCAACGAGTTCATCGCGCATTTACACCGTCCTCGCACATGAATTCAACTTTCAAGCCCGAGGATTTATAAGAACGCGTGTAAGGCGAGCAGTGGAGTTTAGACTTTAGGTCTTGGCAGGGCGTTTCGAATGACTTCATGAGGACCAACGAGTCGGATTTAGTCAATTAAACCCGAATATACCTGCAAACTCCCTGGCGATGTACGGCGTTACTCCTCGTACATTTCCCCATTTGCTAATCACCACATCCTCAACTATACTCAATCCATCCACAACTTTACCCGCTGGACGCCTGAGGAATTTATTCATCCGGTGTTACTTTGTTGGCAGGATATATATTTGCCACTGTTCTACGTCGACTTGAGCATCACCAGAATCCATTCGTTCCACTTCAATTCATATTGAACGTCTTAATACCCATCCTACAACGCTCCATAAGCTCCAGTCGAACATGACATCTTACTCAGAGAAAGAGGTCGTGCTCATTACAGGTAACCAGCTCTCCAAAAATATACACTAAGCTCCTCATCTTAATTACTTGTGTAGGCGCAACGAATGGTATTGGCCTGGACACGGCGATTTACATCGCGTCCGCCTCCCCAAACTATCATGTCATCATCGGTGCACGCAACCTTTCGAAGGGTGGGACCGTTCTGAAAGAACTGCAAGCCAAACCGGGCATCCAAGGCACCCTCTCTCTGATACAACTTGACGCCAACGACGACACTTCTATCGAAGCGGCAGCCAAGAAAGTTGAGCAGGATTTTGGACATCTTGACGTCCTTATCAACAACGCTGGTGTTTGCCCAGAAAGAGATGAAACATGGCCCAACCGAGAGCTGATGCGCACGATTTTCGAGACCAACGTGTTTGGCGCAACACTTATTACCCAGGCTTTCATTCCCCTAATGAAGCATTCATCCAACCCACGCATCATTAACGTAAGCTCCAGCCTCGGCAGCATTGGCGCAATCTCAGACCACAGCGGCTCTTACTCTGGTGTGAAATATCCTGGATATCGCATGAGCAAAGCTGCACTGAATATGTTGACAGCATACCAGTACTATCAGCTCAAGCCGGACGGCTTCAAAGTCTGGACCTACTGTCCTGGCTTTGTAGTAACGGATCTGGGCGGCGATAGAGAACAGAGAGTAGAGAACGGCGTCGAAAGCTCAGAGACAAGCGCAAAGGGGCTATTGGAAATCGTGCAGGGTGAAAGAGATGCTGAAGTGGGTGGCTTCATTGCCAAGTATGGACAAAAGCATGATTGGTAGTGGCAGCCAGTATATCCTGGTACGACCAGTTGTAGAATTCAATTCGGAACACAGATTTTGGTGCCCATAGATTCTGTTATTCGACTACTCTGCACTGTTCCTCTTCGATGCTGTTGACAATCCAAGACATGTGGTAGCTCCCTTCTTTACAGGGTGTTACCCCGCTTTTCTCCTAACAGCTCCGTGGCCATCATCGCTTCTGCCATCAAACTACCGCTTATTCGTTCTAAAATCACCTTCCATCGAAACGGTGCACAAATATAAAGCGATGCATATCCGACACTACCATTCGGTGATTTCTGCACCTTCTAAATTGAGAACTTTCGAAGCGTGTACACTCATCCCACGTGGCACGATTAACCAATCGCGAGCTATTGTGAGCGCACGCGACGGGCTAGCGTGAATCGGATGCATGGCGGGAACGACTTCAACGTCTGAGCTCTAGTGCGAGGCATCGCGGGCTTAACAGCATGGGTAGGATGGCGTATAAAGGCCGAGCCTTGCTACTCGCAGCCTTTGTGTGTATCTTGAGTGTCTTCATCTTGTACACGGACTTTGCTTACAAAGGAACGAGCAATATGATGGGCCCTTTGGTATGCATCAAGGACGAAGACACGAAACGAGCAACTGCTGACAAGAACAGACTTCCGCGAGCGTCGTGCTCTTTGCTCGTATGTTTACTATTTACCAGAAGCTTCTCAAAGCTAATTACATTCAGAAAGCGCATTGGCTTCAAAGTCCGATATTCGCTTCAACCACATCCAGGTTATCGGAACACACAACTCCTACCATCGTGAAGTCTCACTTGCCGAGCGACCTGTGTTCGAGAAGTATGTTCCGTCCCCAGAAGACTACTATTATTCGCACGCGGAGCTCGACAATCAACTGGAATACCAATCCGTGCGCTCTTTGGAACTCGACCTACATCCAGATGAGAAGGGCGGCCTATACTATCCCCCCGTAATATGGACGCTTTCAAACTTGACCAATGCAAGCACACCTTACAACAGGGATGTGCTGAAGAAGCCGGGCATCAAGGCAAGTTGTGTCTATACGAAATGCATGTGAGACATACACTGACTTCGTATCTTTGAATCTGCAGGTTTTCCACGTCACAGATTTTGACCCTGACTCTGTGTGCCATACCTTCATTGACTGCCTCGAACAGTTGAAGAGCTGGTCGGATGCGAATCCCAGACATGTACCCATTACCATCGATCTAGAGCTAAAGACAGATGCGCCAGCATGTCAATTAGGCGGTGCCTGTCCTGGTGAAGCGACAAACTGGACGCTTCCACGCCTCTTGAACGTCGACGCGGAAATTCTCTCTGTTTTCCCCAAGGAACAGCTCATCCGCCCCGACGACGTGCGTAAGAATGGCCTCACCCTCGAACAGTCTGTCTTGCAGCATGGGTGGCCGAAGCTAAAGGACGTGCGCGGTCGGCTGATGTTCTTCTTCGACAACGATCCGAAGCCCACTGATCCCAATTCGCCTCGTGAGCTCTACCTTACTGGTGCACCATCACTTCAGAACCGTACCGTCTTCACCAACGCACTCGAAGGCTCACCCGATGCTGCATTCATCAAGCACAACGAACCGCGTGGGAGTGACACCGCTGAGATCCAGCGTCTTGTGAAGAAGGGATACCTGATCCGAACTCGTGCTGACGTGCCTCTCGATACCATCCTGAACCGCACTACGGAGATGCGGGAAAGTGCTTTCGAGAGCGGTGCGCAGATCGTCAGTACCGACTTCCCAGCGTGGGGCATGAGCAGTCGATGGGGCTGGGACTATGTGGCCAGGCTTCCTGGAGGATTAGCTGCAAGGTGTAACCCTGTGACTGCACCAGAAGGATGCAAGGATAAAGATCTTGAGTAGATGAAGCGAGTGAGGTGATACATGTTGAACTAGGACCTGCCACATTCTCTTCTCGTTGGTCTCCGCCGCGTGCTGCTAGGCTGAAGAAGAGGGCGTTGGACTTTGTGATAGTATAGTCGCCGTAGTCGTCAACCTCAGCTGTTTGCTTCACAGTCAAGAACACCCAAAGTCTCGACAACACATCTGTCCATTAATCTATCCACCCCATTCCGCCCAACGCGGCCTTAATCCTATATACCTCCCACACTCAGAAAAACCAAAGGATTTCAAACATACACACCTGGTATCAAACGCAAAAGACACGTGTATATTTCCCAAAGACAAGAAAACACTCCATCCATATGCATAAGAGAACCAGTATGGACAAGGAAAGTAATGAACATGAAGCAGTATTACAAAGCGAAAGTTGTATAGGGAATTTGGTATCACAGAAAGCCCTCTTGAAATACCGCCCGTTGTAAATCGTGAAAAAGAACGCCACGCTTGCTCGCAGTACAAAAGCACAAAATCGATAGTAGTGACGAGATGGCGGATGCGTGTTGTGTGTTGCTGCGTTCTGTTGGTGCAGTCCTTCCTCTCTCCCTCTCATGTTTGTGGCTTAGTACCTCAGCTTACCCAGAAGACTGAAGCAATATGCGCACTCCCTCTCACTCTTCATTTGTATCATGAAGACTCTTGCTCTTGCACCCAAGACACCACCAGTCTTGCCTACACCACCCACCTCACCGTCTTCATTCATGTGGTCTTCCCATACGCTAACAGCAATACCACTTCGTGCGACACGCTCAAAGCATGTCTCGGACAAAGTAACGTCAAGCAATGTCTCGCCATGTTTCTTGCCAGTGAGCAGAATGCGTCGCTCCTGTGTGTGGTCTCTTGTGCCAGGTGCGCGCTGTCGTGGGTTAATGGGTGACGATGGCTCGCTTGGGTTGGGTGAGGGCAGCATGATTGTTAGCCGTGCGCTGCCCATGTCGCGCCATTTCTTAAGTGATTCTCGCTCGTAAAGCCTGCACTTGGTGTTTGTAATGCCAGCTGGTGCACCAGGCGCCCGCATTCCATCGCCCGTAGGTGTAGTTGCGCCCGAGCCAGGTCGAGAGTTGGAGCCGTTGTCGAACGAGGAACCTGTACTACGAGATCCGAGGGTCGAGTTGCGGATGCTGAAGACGCCGCTCTTGCCGAACGAAAAGCGACCCAATGCCGAGCGGAGGGCAGAATTCATAGTGCCAACGGACGATTCAGTGGCTGCAGAGATGGAAGCAGCACGTGTGCTTGACTTGCGGTAGCTGCTTCTCCTTCCCAACGTGCCACCTAGCCAACCAGAAGACTCAGCGCTTGTCCTAGCTGCGTTCTGGCGGTCCATTGCCTCGGCCCAGCTAGATTGTCCGTAAGGGCCGCGGGCGTTCTGAAGAGCTATGTAGGTCGGGTTGTTGATGCGGGATTGGTTGATCATGGCATATAGTTGCGAGCACTCAGCTGCGTTGCGACTTCTCAACATGATGTTGTTGCCAGCTTTAATGCGCGACTCTGCGGTAGGTGGAGAGCGAATGGAGATATCAATGGCCGTCGATTTGCGCAACGGCACCAGAGGGGTAAGCTCAACCGCAATTAGGGGAGCACCTCCCTCGGGAGTGATAATCTCGTCGCCGTCGGCCAGGAAAGGCTTAGAATGGTTGATCGAGATCTCGTAGACCTCGATCTTGCCTGGCGTAACGACGATGCTACATTCGTCTGGATGCAAACTATCCCATCGGCCATTATCAGACCAGGCGAAGATAGATGCGATGGTCTTTGAAGCCTTGCCGGAACCCTGCGGAACAGTTCTGTATGGCGTGTTCGACGCGGATTGCGATGGGGTGATAGTGCCGTTGGGAAGAGTGTAGATTGATGCGGGAGGTGAGACTTTGGGGAACTTTTTAGTCTCATCTTCAACCTTCTCGGTCTTCTCTACCTTCTCTGCGGGGGCAGGACGGCTGGTTTCTCTGCCAGTGGTGTATGTACGCCCAGGATACCCGCGTGGCCCAAGGTATCCGATTGGCATGAGCGGCATGGGGACGTCATCATCCAGTTCATCTTCTGACGACTCCGAGGTAAGGCTTTCTTCGTCTTCCTCGCCCACCTCATCCTCAGAGGGAGATTCTTCCTCACTTTCGCTTGACTCCTCTGTGCAGGTAGAAGGCTCATACTCATGCTTCAAGGGTGATGATGATCGCCTCTTGTTCTTGAAGCCAGGTAGTGTTGGGGTGAATACAGGCGTTTTGGTTCCCTTGAGGGTTACAGGGGTTGCGGGACTAGAAGATCGGTGTGGTGGTGTTGGCGGTGGCTCCTCGACCTCTGTTTTGGGCTCTACAATATCTTCGACAATTATATCGTGTCTCTTTCCATGCATCTTCGGTGGTGCAGAGGCTGAAGCCTCCCGAACACTGTCTTCTTCATCTTCCGCATCTTGTGTTGGTGTTGATGGACGGCTTGACTTCCTTTGTCTTGGGATGCTCGGTAATTCCAGCGAGGGAACAGAGGACACTCGCCTATGTGCTTGTGGACGCTGTGGAGAGGGAGGCGAGCCAGGTGGTGAGATCTCTGAGTCTTTGACAGTGCTCTTGTCTTCTTCAGAACTGTAAGATTCGTCGGACTCGTCGGAATCATCTACTTGAGAGGATGGCATCCAGACACTGTAGCTCTTTTGGGGACGCTTCTTAGTAGACTTCCGACGTGGCTTAGTCTCTTGGACCGGCGATTTAGTCTTCTCTGGCTCTGCCGGATCTTCGAGCGTGATCTGGCGAGACGGCCGTGCTGAGTGTGGGGAAAGAGTGGGGTTCTTAGATAATCTCTTCGCCCTTGTTCGTTTCAAGCTCGAAGGTGACCCGGTGCCTTCCGCTCGTACTGCCTCGTCAAGACCGCGAGGCGTCCTGTCAGGATCGTTGAGGAGCTGATAGGCGGTCTGCATAGCATCTATGGGCGTATGGGGCTCTGAATCATATGCATTGATATGATAGCCATCACCACTGGGTGGAGTGATAGGCGATATGGTACGAGACTGGTTACGCCTATCGGGGGTGTCGTAGTGCCATACTTTTGATACTTCAGTATGTTGCTCGCCAATAGGGATGTCAATCTCATGTGG